GAGGGTGCAGCCACTAAAGAAAGCATATTACAATGTTGTGTGTTCAGCAGAACACATGTAAAATACCTTTCCTTTTGTCAATATGTTATGTAAATTTAAGTATTAGGATATTAGTATCATATAAAATAAATAATGTAACTCCAGTAACACAGTTACACTCTAGAAATGTGACATTAGATCTGTGTCTTTCCAGATAGCAGTCAGTTTTTTATTCTTCTGTTGAGCTGTATTTTAGGGTTCCTGAATGGACCGCTACATATATAGTTGTTTTCTAGTTTTATTAACCATTTTAAGGTAATTATATCAAGTCATCAAGTGATCTATTCTTTCAGCAAATTCTACAAGCCCATTTTTTTTCAAGTGTTGCAACACAGATTTCCCGCAGAAGTCTAAATCAGGTTTAAGTGCTTGGGTTGGATAGAATTACAGGACTTGGATTGCAGTACCTATAAAGTTTTTTTAAATTCATTTTACCTCCCCCATTTTTGTGAATGCAACACACAGTACATCTGCAGGGTAGAGTCTTATCAAAAACCAGAACATCATGTAGTGCTTTGTGTCCTTGTAATTTAAAGCAGGCTTCTACAGCACGTCTCCCCCCATCGTTATGCTCCCGAGGTAAGCAGCAAATTAGCACATTTTATACATTTCAGGATGCTCTAGTCTGGTCATTTGCACAGATTTGATTGGCCTAAAGTACTGCACTGCAGGAAAAGCTGTCACTAAATTCATTTTTGCCAGCATTATCATGGACATTTAAAGCAATGTCTTGTCTCTCATATGAGGCAACATAAACTGGAACTGTTAACATGAATGAAAAGGCAGCACACACCAACAGTATGTGATTAATGTCACAATATGTGTCTTATTTTTCTCCCCTCCCACCAAGTCTTAACTGGCAGCATTAATCTGTACAACACTCATTCCCCATTTCCAATTCTGATTCCTGTAATTTAATTTCTTCTCCACTTGTCCAGTTGGGTTGCAAGTGTTCTATAATGCTGCTTATGTGTATTGCACTTACAGTAAGTTCCAATATATGAGGTATTTTCTTCATTAATAAAAGGGTCCGATTTTTTTCTTTCTATATCATTTCTTAAATTGTACCTATCACAAAACACACTATACTTAACAAATTAACTCTGTTTATTTAAACTGACAAAATTTCTGCACATTAGTGTGCCATAAAATTGTTAACCATATTGCTTTGGGGGTAAAATATTAACAGATATTATTAGCGTCAACTTTCTATGTAACTTAGAATTAAAGTTTAAGTAATTGAACACTGCACTCTTGAATTTAACAGGGAGGTATGAGTATGGTATGGGGGAGCGCAGGGATGCAGCTGGCTCAGGACCCTGGGATGGCCCTGACTAACTGGCTACAACACAATAATCGGCAATGAGAAAATGATGACTGACTTCTTGGCATGTTAAAAATTTTGAGTTTATCAGCCCTTGGCAAATAAACTGAAAGGTTAATGAAGTACATTGTATCTGAGTAGTATGGTAGGGACACATACAGTACATCATATTATTGTCACATCTGGACAAAACTGAAACCCTAAATTAGGCTACATGCTAAAAGCACCATGAAGGTCAGTCCTCCTGTTCCTCACTGTCTTGCTGGCCATCTGTCCTTTTATCTTTGTGACAAGAAAAGATTCGTCGCATCTCCTCCTCGTACCTGATGAAATTCTCTCCGAATCTAGCCCAGGCTTTTAGGGGAACTGTGATGGTGTTTCTATACGGCTGTCGCACTTCGCTAATTTTTAAAAAGATGCCATACCGGTTTGAACCCACATCAAAGTAAAACCTTTTGTTGTCCACTCGAAAAGACGCAGCCTCTGGAAGCTCGGGGTTATCGTTGCGATTCCTGGAGCCTGCTCGGCTGCGGTCTTCGCTCTCTTCGTCCCCGTAGTCTTCAATCAGCTGTGACAGAGCGTCTCTGAACTCAATCAGTCCCTGTGCGGGTAACACTATGGTCTGCTCGATGCCCTGGCCGTAGTAGCCCATTGTGCCGTGTCCTTTGCTGACAGTCTGTCGTATGCGGAGGAATCTGCCTCTCTGGTTCTCCTTCAGGTCCAGAAAGTACTTTCTGTTGTCTCGCTCAATAAATTCGCTCTTGAGAACACGATGTGCATGGTCATCGGACACAACAGAACCGGTGGGGGACAGGTTCGCGTGATGCTCCTGCGCTCTCTTACGGGAGTCGTTCCCGCGGCCCTGGCCATTGTTACTGTGGTCCTCGACCTGCGGAGGCGCCAGCCCCCCCCGCAGTCCAATGCGGGCGTAATAATCTATAAAGTCTCCCAGACAGTAGCGTAGAGCGGGAGCCATCGACATAGACAGTGTCAGCTTGCTCTTTCTGATGTTATCATGACGGCCCCTTCCTATCCACACCTCGGCTATTTTAAGGAAACGGCCGCGTACACTCTGCTTGACATCCAGATAAAAGCGTTTCTTCTGGATGTCGACGCGTTTGGAAGCTAATTCTTGGATGTCATTTCCTTGCTGCTGTGACCAGGTCTGAACATATTGCTGAGGAAATGCATGTCTTGGTAAAGAGTCTGATGCAATCTTACCCCTGCCTCTTTCCATTCCTTTGCAACATCCATCAGCCATCATGATTTATATTCCACCACTAGACAGCACAGGACAAAGCGTTTTGTCCATTACAAAGGGAAAATAACAGGCGAATAAAGCAGGCTTACTCATACAAATATCTGGAGCAACACACAATTTAGCGAGATGCCTCGAATGACCTGAAAATGGCAGCTAGTTTGGAATCATCAGCTGGTCGACTTTCTGTGTCCCGATAAAAGGTCAAGTTCTCCTATTTAGCTATTTCCAGTGCAGACCTACATTCCATTTTCTGTCAAGTATTTGCCTTATACCTCCCCTTTTACTAAGGGAGCTAGGGAAACAGCCAACCTGAAATGGGAGGAGGCGTCCAATACTACATGAACCCGATGAACCTATCCACCCCCTCCCCGTCCTGAGAATACCTCAGTTAAAGAGACACGACTTTTATTCTAACCGAAGGGTGCAATTCTGATACACTCACATTTTTTAGACAGACTTTAGGAGAATTTGGGTAAAACTTGTAAGATGATTATTATGACACAAAACCCCCTAATATCTCAAAATGGCATTTGTAAATCAGAACAGAGGATTGAAATAAAATACCAAAAATTAAATCATCGTCTTTGTGAAACAGTCAAACTGCTGCCTGTAGACTACTATTGCTTTACATATTTTGAAATTGATTTATTCATCTTGACATCACAGTACAGCTGCATCATGACTAAAACTAACAATGATCAATGATCAACAATGGACAATGAGGTCAGTTCCGTGATCATTAATATACAAATTGGCATTACCATTGATCATAACAATGGTAGCTTTGGTCCTCAGATTTCGTGGAGGATGAGAGATATCATCATGATGGCAGATGAAACAACAGCCTTTTATCATCTTAAAACACAGCGACCAGGGAGCAGAAGAACATCATATCAAGAATGCCCTGAGTAAAAGTTGTTATCCCAGCTGGCCATTTGTCACAGCTGGGAAGGTACCTAAAGAATTCTCCAGGCTATCCAGGACAGCTCTAATCTCTCTGTCCTCTCTCCATCCTCCTCGCTTCTTCTTTGTTCTGACAATCACATACAAATGCATTTTATTCAACTAGAAAATAAACATGAAAATATAATTTTATAATAATTATTATAAGAGCAGGTAAGGGATCCCCATTTGATAACAATATAACACAACTTAGTTATGTGAAATCATGATTAATGAATGTGCACAAAACAGGAGTTACATAAGCTTTATAATTTTTTGTTAACTTTGACTACATGTCCACTCTTACCTGTTTTTTTTTCTTTGTATTATCTCTGCTTCTTTGCTGTCTTCACCCTGCTCTCTCTCCTCCCTTGGTGTTTGTGCTGTCACCATAAGTGAAATTTAACTGTGAAACATAATTTACAACCTGATAAAAGATATGAACCAATCCATATCAATTTATAACAATATTCAAATTAATTCTGGGCTCCTGCAGAAGCAGAAGAAAATGAGAGCAATAGAATAAACAACATCACTATGATATATGGGAATATAACAGTAAATACTAAATATTGAATATTATTGTGCAGCACGTAAGATCGACAGAGCACAGTGTGCTTTGAGGTAGGAGCCAAAAAGGGTGTAGTTTGTGTGTGTGAGCACCCGTGTGTACACCTGTGAGCATGAACGCGCTTGTTTTTAAAAGGTTCCTTCATGTAATGATCTGCTAGAGGGTGTGGGGAGTAGGGATGGGTATCGAAAACTGGTTCTTGTTGAGAACCGGTTCCCACTGTTTCAATTCCTTGGAATTGTTTGCCATTTTTGCAAACGATTCCAGTCGCCCCGAATGACATCACCACGTTGCGGAGCGTCATTTACCTGGCAGGAAACACGGCGCCTCAAAACTTTGGTTATACTTTACGAGAATGGATGACAACAGGGCAACTTGCAATACTTGAAAAGTAGATATTTCATTTAAGGGAGGAAACACTACGAACAGGGGCGATTCTAGGATCAGAGCTTTGGGGGTGCTGAGCACCCAGAAAGCTGCCCAGCCAAGCAAGATAAACCTGTCTCTGTCAGTCCCTGCATCCTTAAATGTTGTCCCGAGTTCTCTCTGACTGTCACTTTGGTGCATTTAAACCCCTGTTCCTCCCTGTCCTCATCATCTGTTGTCTTCGTCTCCGTTATCAGTCATCATAATTTTACGCTCTCTGTGCAAGTCTGCAAATTTCTTTATTAAATCATAAGATTCTTAAATTCATCAAGTCTCTCTGTGCCTGGGTCCTCGTCACAAAACATGACATCACTGTTTTGTACATTTTAACACAATTTAATCCCATATTTGTGAAATAAAAGCAAAACACTTTTTTGAAAAGTCTGTAACAAAACCATCAAATCTGATTAGGGTTATTTAAATGCTGCCAAAGAAGAATGGATTGGAATAAAAAAAATCCTAACCTTAATTACTGGGCGAGAATAATGAATGATACTCATAGTGAGTAAAAAGTAAACTGAGTGCATTTTTTGGACAGAGATTCACTTTTAATGTGTATGTATAATATAATACAGATACATAAAAATACACTCCCAGAACAGAATAAATTATTACAAATAAATTATTACAAAATATTAATAAAAACTATAAAAATTGAGGCAACCTTGCCTGTGGTAGAATGTATACAGTGTATGAAAAAATATTTATTGCAGATACTAATTAAATAATACTAATTTTGTGTTATAAGATTTATGAGTTTCATGCTTTCACAGTGGTACTTAGGAGAGCTTAACATTTTTATCAGGTGGTACACACTGTAAAAGCTTTGAGAAACACTGATAAGTGTATGTGTGCTTTTGGAAAACATTTAAAGCTGCTGTACAGAATCTTTGAAACAAGCTTAAAACATTTTTAGAATATAAACAGAGCACTCTGCTTCTCTTTACAGCTCCTCACTCCACCAGGGCTGTTTGGCACTTTCTGATAGTGTGCAAATGTGATGTACGTACTGTGGCAGTCATACAGACAACTGGACGGTCCAAAAGTTGGCCTACCTATTACTGGCTGAGGCTTTGTGGCTGAACCACATAAAAATATATCATTAATTTTAATCTCCCCAATCAATTATAATGTTATGTTGGAATGTCGTTAAAGAGAGTCAAAAATGTTTCAACCCAGTTTGTTTTGCAGATTCTGTATAACAGCTTTAATATAGGGAGGACACAACTTCCAGATTGTGTGAGTAAAATAAGTTGTGTTTTTTTTTTTTCTTTGCCAGTTTGACAGTTTCTGTTGTGCCTGTCACTGTTCCCTGTCTGTTTTCTTACCTGGTTCTTCCTGACCTTGTACTTTCTCCTCATGTTCCCCTCTTTCCTCTCTCCCTCTTTGGACTGACAATCATACACAAATAGATTGTATTCAATTAGATGAAAAATTACATTAATATGAAAAAAATTATATTAAGATCACTAACAAAAAGTCCTCTCTCAGTGTACTTTCAACCAAAAGGCAAATAACCAAACCACATGAACATCTAATAAAAGATATAAACATTGAAACACTGATCCAACATTATTCTTGATTGATGGATCATTTGATTTTACACTTTTACCTGAATGTGGCTCCTTTTTTTGAAAAAACTTCCTTATATCCATTATGAACCTGGCTGTCTCACTGTACACAAACACACACACACACACACACAACAGGAGTTATAAGGTTAATGGGCATTCAGTCAGTTAGCTAGTTAGTATCCATTTCAAACAGGACAGTGGTAACAACAGTAGGCTGCCAACAATTTAAAGTTTTCGATTTTAAATAGGCTATATACATTTCAATGGGAGCAACAGGACGGCCAAATGTCGCTGAATTTACTACAGAGCAGGACAGATTGTAGGGTAGCAAACATTGTCCCAAAACACGCTTTCAACACTGCAGGTTACCTGGTGTAATGTTTTTCAGCT